GTCCTTCCTAGCACTTTTCTTCACTTCTTTGTCCAGTGCTGTGTAAGTTGAGCTCATCGTCTCCTTCTCTTGTCCGTCCTTGCATTGAATCATTTTCTCTTTCACCATTCTCCTCTCTTCTATTAATTTCCAAGTGTCCGTTGAGAGCCATTCCTTGTCTTGTCTCTTCTTTCTTCCTAGAACCGTTGAACACGTTTCGTTGAGAATCGCCTTCAGAGACTTCCAATGTTCTTCCACGCATGATTCTTCAGTGCTGTCGCGTAGTGTTTCCTGCTTTGCTCTGACAGTTGCAGTGAAGGTGTCTTTTGTGGTTGTGTCCTTCAGTAATTGAGTGTTGAACTTGCATTGTGGCCTATCTCCAGCTATCCTCGAGGCTTTTAGTTTCACCTTGAAAGTCCCTTGTACTAGATAGTGGTCTGAACCCACATCTGCTCCTCTCCTTGACCTTGTGTCCAGTAGGCTCCGTCTCCACTTTCTTGAAATTGAGATGAAGTCTATTTGATTCTTGGTGTTTCCATCTGGTGAAATCCATGTCGTCTTGTGTATATCCTTGTGTTTGAACACACTACCGCCAATCACCAAATCATTGAAGGCGAAGAAGTCTGAGAAGAGTTCACCATTGTCGTTCATTTCACCGAGGGCCTCTCGACCCATGGTGAGTTCTCTTCGTGTATTCTCTCCTCCCAGCTTCGCATTCATGTCACCCATCAGGATTTTGATATCGCCATTTGGGACGTTGTCCATTATTGCTTGTAGTTGTCTGTAGAACGCCTCCTTCTTCTCTTGTTCTGAGACGTTTGTAGGCGCATAGCATTGAATGACTGTAACTTTCCTTCCTTTTGAGTTGAACCTGGCTGTCATTATCCTGGAGGAGATTGGTTCCCACTGCATGAGAGCTTTGGCTGCTGTTGGTGACATCATGATGGCCACTCCCTCGGTGTGCTCATGGTTGTCCTCTAGGTGGCCGGAATAGATTACTGTCTCTCCAGTAGGTAGTTGGCACCTTCCAGTTCCGTTCCATCTGCTCTCGCAGATTCCCAACACTTCTATTCTGTACCTTCTCATTTCAGCGGCTATCTGGGCAGCCTTTCCAGTTTCGTACATTGTACGAACATTCCAGGTACCCATCCTTACTTTTGCTTTCATCGAAAGAAGGCACATCGGCTGACTGGCTTCCCGAAGGCTTTCACGAGCCTGGGTCATTTCACTTCCCCGATTCCAGCGAAAAGTGAGGCTATTGCTTATGTTTTTAGAATTTTTGATATATTTATTCGTTGAAGTTTCTGTAGGGATTTGGCAAAGTTTTGGGGGTGGTGTAGCTAGCACCACGCACCAACCCTCTCTCTTTATCCGGGCTTGGGACCAGCGGGAAAATTAGCGCGCTAGTAATCTAGGCGAAGTTCATTATAACCTAATACTTCCTATTATATTTGCAGAGGATTCTTCAGCCAATAGCGTCGGGTCAATCATGTAAATTTACACCTTTTCTCAGATGGTTCACTGAAAGGAACACAGCGTGCATCACAGACACCAGTCCCTGCAGGAAAGAACTACAGATCAATGGAAAGAGAAGTTCTATCCCGAAAACTCGTATGTCTGCACAAAGCGCCAGCTAACCGAATCTCTGGGTAATCATCCTATTCATTTATGAACCAGGCATTTTCTAAAGCTGAACTTGTAACCTTGCACAAAGAGGGACTCAATCTTCTTTAATTTAAGATTAACGGGGATTCGAGTCAGTTAGGCTGCTTGAACAGATTCAGGATCACCTTCAGTTGGCTTCGACCGGATATAAACCTCATGACTGCTACGTGGCCAGCTGTTCTGCTTAGAAATGACCTTTGGCCGTGCTACCTCCCGATTCTGTAGCTTGGCCCACCTAACATGGTGCCCATGACGCCCCTGCTGCTGTTCACTATGTGTTTCAATCCCAAAGGATCAACAACTTGATCACTGACAGTGAAACAGATGAGCCTGAATTGATTTGACGTGCTTCATTCATCCCCTTTGGTCATATTATCCCGGGTGAAGATGAATTGAAGGCAGCTATAGTCTCTGAAAACTGCAAAGTTCAAATTAGTGTCAACTCCGTTCCCTTTTCTACAGTAACCTTCACAAAAATCCATCCAGCCACGCTCAGTGTTGACTCCTCACAAGCTGTTATCTAGTCCATATCAAGTTGCTGGCTAAATATCCAATTTGTCACTGTAGTTGAAGATTGAACGATCAATTCATGGTTGTTTGCTCAAACCCGACTTCCCTATATTTTTGCGGAAGCATCAATACACCAGTCATCGTCTCATCGGTCGCTGTTCAGAAAAAAGTCAGCAGAAAACCGTCAGAAGTAATATTGTGATTTATTATTGTAATATTTGTTCACAGACCTTAGTTGTAACATTGTTCATATGTTGGTGTTACAATAAAGAATCCTCGAGTCGTCAATTGGTGTTTTGGTTTTTGCGTCCGTTATAACTAAGCGTTTCTGAGAAACCTCAAGGAACAGCGTGAGCCCGAGTACGGCAAGAGCTGGGCATTGACGGTTTACGAGACATGGCTGACACAGTTTGACGGGGATTTGAAGCATTTTCACTAGTCGCGGATTTTTGTGCACTGTACAGGATTGTCTCGTGCACGGAGACCAAACAGTAATAACACGAGCACTTAGAACAAATTATCTGAAAGCGTTTGAGGCTTTGACTAACATATTCATACCGGAGTGATTCACATTTGTGAATAGTTTAAATGTGAATTGCTCCAATCTGAAGGACAGCAGCATGCATCTTTTGACAGCTCGAGAATAAAAAATGAGTCTAGATCTTTGACAAAAAAGCAAAAAGGATTGTACAGATCCTAATTTTTTAAAATGATTTTGCACTTAACATCTACAAGCCTGCTCAGCTTCTCGTCAAGATGCTACCCCATGGCACATGTAGAAATTCGTGTGATATCTTATAGGACATTTTGTCCTACAGGTTCTAATCTCGCAGATCTTTGAATTCGCTTCTCGTTGATATATCACTTATATACTTAACAAAAATTTCTGTCTAGTTACTGTTATATTCTATTTAATCCTAACCACCTTGGCGACTACTGAGCTAGGACCTACTCTTTTGATTGGCTGGAGGATTTCAACAGGAGCTGACATCAGTTACACGGACTTGCAGTCTGCGACCACAACCGAAATGAAAACAAGTTGTTCCAAAAAGATATACATTGTTACAGAATGGTGAAGAGCTACAAGATTATTTTTCTGCTAGACAAAATACATCAGGAAGACGCGGTGCAAACCTTCAAGTATGGGGACTTAGGTAACCAATTAGTTAGCCTGTTTAAATGATTTTGAACGCATTTCCAACTGACTTGAACTAGATACAAGGCTAGTGATTGATGTGCAGCTATCAATCCTGCTAGAACTGAACTCTAGTGACTCTACCTGCTCACTCTTTAGCTTGGATCGCCTAAACTGGTGGCCAGGCTGCTCCCAACACCACCACAATTAGCAGATGGAGAATATAACACTTATAGCTGCTGAAAGATGTGTTTATTGACGACGATTCGGGGAGAGCGCACAAGTAGACAGTCACATCACAGCAAAGTCGGCAAGCTGTTATCTCTTGAAAATGATACATACCACCACGTGTTTCAATCCACACGTTAGACAAACTGATTGTCGATGGGGAAACAGTTTAGGTTTAATTGAGTCGATAAACTTCCTTGATTCCCTGCAAGGTTATCTGGTGTCCAAACACAATAGTCGAAGCAAAATGAGATATGTGAAATGTTCATATATACATATACATATGCACATAATATGCACGTAACATTCCGAAAAGAGTGTGAACATCGATAACTGAACATACTGTGTAGTTACATCAGATATTACCATACAAGAAAAACCGGTGTGTTATTAATGTTTGCTTCTACTTATGTGAATAATATTTCACCGAAAAGAGAAAGAATTGCCGTTCAAATCTCCACCTCAAACCCACTGAATTTTAAAGGCCTTTCGACAACGTCGATCACGAAATAGTCGAGAAACTGCAGTAACATCGTAAAACGCATTCGCAGAAGCCTCTTTAGAGGCTGACGTATCGACGCTCACGGACAGTACGAAGTATACTAACCCACGATCTAATACACACCACTCCTATAGTATTCGTTATGCGTCGACCAAAGGTGAAGCAAAAGACAACATTTGATCGTCCATATTACGAGTTGTATTTCGGGACCAAGTCGGAGTACGAGATGATCGCTTAGCTGGCCATTGACCGTGCGCGAACGAAAGAACATGACACGACGGAGTACCGAATGGCGTGGATGCTTGACCGGAAGCCTTCAGCTAAACAAGTTGACTAAAACAGTGAGGTTCAGCATCCATTGTTCAGTAATGCATGGTGTGGCCAATAATTTTGGGGAATTATTTATCGCTACAAAGGCAAGTAAAATATTGACAGTAGGCTAATAGATGACTCCAACCAAACGACTCCGCAAAGTAGATGAAAGTCTTACACTAGCCCTTAAATGTTTGAGGCTGTGGACTAGTTATCTCTTGGCATTTATCAAATCTGAGGTCTTATTGCATCTTTTCTAATAGTACTTCTCTTTCAAAATTATTTCTGCATGGTCAAATCATATATATATATATATCTGCAATGGATTTAGACACTGCTTACACTTATTGTTGCCTCACTTGATTTTTCATTCTTCCTTTGCCTTCTGCACATATTTCTTTCTACTAGTTTGGGTCCCTTTTTGACCAGAGAACATATACAGGTTCCACTAAAAGTCTTTGAAAGTCCCTAATTTCCTAAGAGACAAGACGAACAGTCGAATGGCCACTGAATTAATACAAATAAAGCAAAAGACTACATAGAAATACTGCACCGTAACACATGAGAACTTAGTAGGTGTTCATCAAGAAATGCCCCCCTAACAAATAAAACAATCCACACAGAAGTAGTGGACAGGGTAAATCGAGGTCATACAGGGCACATTTTCAAATGACGGTGCAATATAATCAACTTGTCCTTACTGGTGGTCCGGGGGTGTTTTTTAGTCTCTTATTAAGGTAACTTTCTTCTCTTCTCAGCATTTTTCCAGATGGCGAGGTTGTGTCTTCAAACTGATTTACATCGATGTCATATTTTTTATGACTTTATACGCCTTGATAAGCTGCATATACCGTTTTGCACTTCCAGAACATGCTCAAAGGTTTGATTCTTCATTTAGAGCAATTAAAATTCTCTAGGGTTTTTGAAAAAACTGTAGTATTTACACAAAGCTTCCAAGGGCTTATCCCTGTTTCTTTTATTCTTGGCTTCTACATTAATTATGTGTTCGCAAGATTTTGGAAATTATTTATGACTATTCCTTGGGTGTTGAAGTTTGCCATTTCTATTACTGGGCACCTCTCTGGAGATTCTGATCGTCCCCGTATGATACGTCGTACATGTTTTCGTTACATGATGGGAAGTCTAATAATGACTTGTACTCGCCTCAACTTGATTGCAAAAAAACGATTTCCCACGCCTGAATATTTTGTTAAAGCAGGTACTGTCTTTTTTAAAATTTTTGTCTGGACTAGAGTATGTGACAGCGTTACCTTTATCAAGTTTTTAATTTATTAAATGTTACCTTGTTGGTAGGAAACCCTGTTTGTATATCCAATATCGTTTTTGCGAGCTAGTATAAACCAATTTGATTTCTTTGTGCTCACCTCTTGATAGTGAGGTATAGGTTCCTGATCGTCGGTAAATTTCTGCGTAGCTCGTCCCGTCAATCGACTGTCGTAGCTTTGGTTGACTCCAAAGGGAGTAGTGCTGGGATTAATTATATGTGGTTTGTAGTATGAGGTGTGTTAAGACTGTTGCTACTGTGAATGGAGTTGATCTTTTCGCCCGTTGGTCCTCCGGTATCGTCAAAAAGAGAAAATAGATAATAATAATAGATATAATTAGTGAAGTTATTCAGACTGAAAGAAAGAAAAAGAAATAAGAAAACGTAACAACAGTCAGCTGATTAAATTTGAATAATATGAATTATATATATATATATATATATATATATATATATATATATATATATATATATCGGTAATACTGATAATAATAATAAGTGTAGTTAAAGTTGTCAGGAGAGTAAGATGGGAGAGAATGTAAAGAAGTAAAATGACAAGTTTAATTGTCTACCCCTGGTGTATGCGATTTTAAGGGGATAGGCCATTTGGCTGCAGTCCTTGTGTCGCTGCATGGTTGTCCAGCCCAGTAAAGGCGTCCGAAGACGGTGCCATAGTTACATCTGCCGGTAAGGAATTCCAGGGGCGGCAAACCTGCAGTGAAAAGAAGTGGGAGCGGACCAGAGTCCTTGTCCTCTGGTGAGCTATCCTTCTGGGATTTCCACGGAGGAGCCTATACCTACTCAATGGCAGAACACCTTTGTTTGGGTGAATCTGGTCATTTGTTATTTTGTAGGCAGTAATTAAATCCCCCCCTAAGACGTCGGTAGCTAAGTGTGAACAGGCCTAATTTCTTCAGCCTTTCATCATATGGTTTATTTCGGAGACCAACCAATAATAACTTGATAATAATATCCTCAAAAATCGCACCTTTCTGTTCAGGGGTGTGTACCCGCCAATATTTATACGGGTTTCTCTTCATATAAGGTCATTTCGAATTCTTTTACGGAATTTAATGAATACACAAGACTGGTAGCTTCTGTTTTCTGCTATCACGTAAAAGAGAATTCTTCACTCTACAGCACTCCAATAGTGATACTTCTCAAAATATTATTCAGATTCAGAATTTTTGATTGAGAATAGAAGGCTTGAATCCTTTTCAAGTAAATTCCCATGCTTTTTCAAACCCTTGTTGAATAAGTCGGTTGAGTTCACTGACACGAATTCTGGGAGTTAGTCAGTTCCAGGAGTTTATGACTCGCTGTGAGAACTAGTACTCCACAGCAATATGGTCTCTCCTTGGATTTTGAACTCTCCTGCTATGTCCTCTAAGTTGTTATGAACACCTGGTGAGAAATAAAAGAGAATAGATCAGGTCTGTATTCGTTGTTTAAAATTTTAAACATTGCAATTATATCTCCTCTCTGCTTATTATATGATAGGGAGGAGAGATTTATACTGTCTAGTCTTTCCTCGTATGACAGATTAATCATGCCATAAATCATAAGTTTTGCCTTCCTTTGAACAATTTCTAGGATATGTGAGTCCCCATTAAGACAAGGACTGACTGGCTATCTGGATACGGTTTTCTAGTCTTGACCTCATCTGAGAGAGATGTATATAAGGAGGTGACCATATTTCTGGGGATTCTAGTAAAGGCTTTGCGAATTGTCCATAAGGATCTAAAAATACTTGCAGCCACCGCGCTACATTGTGTTTAAAGCATAGCTCATGAGCAGACGACGCCAGTTACCTCTCTTCCTTAATTCAGAAGGTATATTTCACAGAAACAGTTCAAAGTTATCTGACTTGTGAACACTTTATTTGTCATAGTGTACTTCGATGTTACGGGTAACACGAGTATTAGACTCCTTATTACGTTTCTTTTGAATAATATCACAAATTATGAACTGTTTGCAAACAGTGGGCTAATTATTCAAGACTTAACTACACTATGGTCATTTAAATCTGACGTGTGATAATTCTACGATTATATTTTGTGGTAGTTATTCTCGTAGGCAGTGTTGGTCAAACCAAAACATAGCTTCATCATAAATTAATGAAATCCAAAACAGTTGGTTTAAGCCAGCCACGTAAGAAGCTATAGACTGGTTGAAATCTTCGGGAGGGTAAAAGCCAACGAAAGGTGGAGATAATTGGTGATATGGCTGGCTCAAAGTGATCGTTCTCGGCGATAACTGACTAGCGGAGATGCATCCACTTCTTGTGACCTATAAATAAATAAATCTATATTGTTCCTCCATATTAATATTCTTTTCTCCTTATGTTTCTGTTTACTGTCTCTATTTTGCACTTCATTTTACTCTCTTCTCTTGCTTTGTGGGCTAAGAGGAGGTAGTGTGGTGACTCGAACTGTTGCTGCACATCGATGCAAAGTTCTACGTTGAAGCCAGTCAGTCATTCTAGAAGGCTAGTATTCTTAATTTCCCTCGCCTTTTATTTCTCTACAGTCCATAAAAAAACAACTGATATACTTATATAAATACATAATATACCACAAACCGATAACTTCTTCAGTATATTCACCATCAAATTTTTTTAAACACGTTTTTGTAGGCATATTTACTGAAGGCGAGGTGATAATGATCCTGAATGTTGTCCCCACGCATGTGCAACCTTTTCTGCCTATTATTTGGACCATCTCGCTAATTACACGGGCTCAAAAAGAAGGTTTAATAAGAAATCATCATGCTTTAGCCTCCATTATTGATGTAAGTTATATCCGATGAGATTTTTTACTATATATATTAGAAATATCGAAGCAGTTTTGGAAGTTCATTTATTTTGCACAATAATCATTATTATTACTATATTGTAATCTACAAGTTTGTGCGTTGGTGGCACAAAAGTAAGTAGAATGCTTGGCGTCAATCACGTCTCCATGTGGTTCGAATTTCGATCTCTGGCCGGCCACCGATGCACTCCTTTACTTGGCGATAAGGCAGTAATAAGGCTAGCAAAGAGGGGAAGTTAAGGGCGACCTCATCCCACCAAAAAAATAAAACATCACTGCTGCCGAAAAGTCAAAGCTCTAACTTGAAAGCGCCTTATGTTTGTTCTACTGAGAACCTAAAGGAGTAAAAACCGATCTACAAGTTATAAAACAAGTTTACCGAGAATGATTTCCCCTCCCTCCTCTGAAATTTATTTAAAGTAGCCTTTAGAACTACTCATCTGAATTAAGATTGTAAATAGTGTCTTATTCATATCTATTGCATTTTCATAGCTGTTGACATTTTTCAACATCTATTGTCTACCTCTAAATTTTGGGATTATTTTGCGGTAATGATTAATATATAACAATACTGATCTGCTTTCTTCCAAACAGTATTTGTAATGCAGCATAGAATTCTCTGCATTTGTCACAACAACACCTTGCATCTAATTTACTCAAAACATCATAAATAATAAGGATTAACCACACCGGAATTTGTCCAACCGGAATTTACAGTAGGAATAAAGTCAAAAATGTGCAAAGTACAAAGTGAGAATAATAACTCTGGTAATAATGATAATAACAGTGGGTTTGTTTCCAACAGCATTGTCGATTCACTTTGGAAATTTTAGCATGTTATTACAGCGTATAGAATCTAATGTTCTCCTGATGATATAGAATGGTGAGAGGAAAGACAAAATATAACAGTTATTACACAGGTTGAATGATGTTTACACTTATGAGAAAATAAATACACAAAAAGAAGTAAGAGGATTATAAATATAAGTAGAATAATAACCACAAAGCTTGATTGATGGTGTAAGGATGGAGAAAATGGTTTACTTACCAATTCAAAGGAGGTTAGTTAGTTAGTTAGTTGGTTCCCGGCACTGTTTTCATCACATACAATACGTGGCGCCAAATATTATTATTATTATTGCTCCCTTGGGTTCCTAGTGGAACATAGGGCTTCAACTGCATGTCTCCATTTTCTTCTGTCTTCTGCTATGCTTTTCGCCTGCATCCATGTTAATCCATATTCTTTCAACTCCTCTTCACACGATCTCCTCCATGTCACCCTTGGACGTCCCACACGCCGCTTCCCTTTCGGGTTCCACTCGAGGGTCTGACGCGCGATGTCACCCAGCGGTCTCCTCAGCGAGTGTCCGATCCATCTCCACTTTCTCCTGCATATTTGTTGGGCGATTGGTTCTTGCTTTGTTTGTTCCCATAATTCCTTGTTGGTGATTCTTTCCGGCCATCTGATCTTCAGTATAGAGCGAAGACAGTTGTTAATAAAGGTCTGCAGCCTTTTGGAAATATTCATTGTTCCTCGCCCGCCAAGTTTCTGATCCGTATAGAAGAACTGACTTTACGTTTGTATTGAAAATCCGACGAATTTTGTTGTTGATGCTGAGTGACGAAGATTTCCAGATTGATTTCAGGCTGATGAATGTGTTTCTCGCCTTCCCGATTCTCGATTTGACATCCTCGTCCGCTCCTCCTATAGTTGAGACAATGCTCTCTAGATAAGTGAATGAAGTAACCTCTTTCAAATCCCTCCCGTTGATGGTGATTGACGTTGGATGTTGTTGCTGTTGTCGGTTGGTTATTTTCATAACCTCCGTCTTGTCTATGTTTACCTGGAGTCCTGTCTTCTCCGGCTGCTTCTTCGACCAGTTGGTCGGTTTTCGCTTGTAAGTCTTCGATTGTGTGTGACATCAAACATAAGTCATCCACGCGCGAAATCCAGGTCTTCTAGGTTCTTCACATCTGTCGTCAGGATATTCCTGTCTTCTCGTTTCCCACAGTCTGACGCATAATCCAGTAGTCCACCACAATTAGGAATATCATTGGTGATAGTAAGCACCCTTGTCTGACTCCTGTGTTTACTCCAAACGCCTCGCTGAGTCTTCCGTTGTGGATCACTTGGCAGGTGCCGTTGTCGTACAGCTGTTGAATAAGGTTGATGAATATTTGGGGTACGCCATAGTACTCGAGTAATTTCCAAATTACTTCACGATCAACGCTGTCGAAGGCCTTCTCAAAGTCTATAAAGTTGAGGTAGAGGTTTGATTGCCATTCCATGCTTTGTTCTGTGATGATGATGCGTAGAGTTGCAATTTGGTCAGTACATGATTTGCCTTTCCTGAATCCAGCTTGTTCTGGTCGGAGTTCTGTCTCCAGTGCGTCCTTTAATCTCTCCAGGATGATGCGACTCAGGATTTTACTTGGCGTCGATAGGAGCATGATTCCTCGCCAGTTCTTGCAGAGTCCTAAGTCGCCCTTCTTTGGTAGTTTCACGAGGTAACCTTTCCTCCAGTCAGTAGGCACCTTTCCCTCCTTCCAGACCTTTTGCAATAATGGAGTCAGCATGTCTGCTGTAGTCTCTGGGTCTGCTTTCAGTGCTTCAGGGGGTATTCCATCTGGTCCGGCTGCTTTTCCAGCTTTCAGGAGTTTGATTGCGTTCAAGACTTCAGCTCTCGTTGGAGGATTGGTGTCAACTTGCAGTTGTGTGCGCGCTGTTGTTGGTATTTCTGGACGGGTTGCAGGTGATGGTCGGTTCAAGAGTCCTTTGAAGTGATCCGCCCATTGTTTAATCTGTTTTTCTTCCTTGGTAATGGGCTTCCCTTGGCTGTCTTTTATAGGTTTCGCTTGTGTTGGTCTCTTCCCGGATAGAGATTTGGTTATCTGATATAGTGTCCTCAGGTCCCTTTTGCCTGCTGCCTTTTCAGCTTCAGTGGCGAGGTTGTCGTAGAATCGTCTTTTGTCCTTCCTAGCACTTTTCTTCACTTCTTTGTCCAGCGCTGTGTAAGTTGAGCTCATCGTCTCCTTCTCCTGTCCGTCCTTGCATTGAATCATTTTCTCTTTCACCATTCTCCTCTCTTCTATTAATTTCCAAGTGTCCGTTGAGAGCCATTCCTTGTCTTGTCTCTTCTTTCTTCCTAGAACCGTTGAACACGTTTCGTTGAGAATCGCCTTCAGAGACTTCCAATGTTCTTCCACGCATGATTCTTCAGTGCTGTCGCGTAGTGTTTCCTGCTTTGCTCTGACAGTTGCAGTGAAGGTGTCTTTTGTGGTTGTGTCCTTCAGTAATTGAGTGTTGAACTTGCATTGTGGCCTATCTCCAGCTATCCTCGAGGCTTTTAGTTTCACCTTGAAAGTCCCTTGTACTAGATAGTGGTCTGAACCCACATCTGCTCCTCTCCTTGACCTTGTGTCCAGTAGGCTCCGTCTCCACTTTCTTGAAATTGAGATGAAGTCTATTTGATTCTTGGTGTTTCCATCTGGTGAAATCCATGTCGTCTTGTGTATATCCTTGTGTTTGAACACACTACCGCCAATCACCAAATCATTGAAGGCGAAGAAGTCTGAGAAGAGTTCACCATTGTCGTTCATTTCACCGAGGGCCTCTCGACCCATGGTGAGTTCTCTTCCTGTGTTGTCTCCTCCCAGCTTCGCATTCATGTCACCCATCAGGATTTTGATATCGCCATTTGGGACGTTGTCCATTATTGCTTGTAGTTGTCTGTAGAACGCCTCCTTCTTCTCTTGTTCTGAGACGTTTGTAGGCGCATAGCATTGAGTGACTGTAACTTTCCTTCCTTTTGAGTTGAACCTGGCTGTCATTATCCTGGAGGAGATTGGTTCCCACTGCATGAGAGCTTTGGCTGCTGTTGGTGACATCATGATGGCCACTCCCTCGGTGTGCTCATGGTTGTCCTCTAGGTGACCGGAATAGATTACTGTCTCTCCAGTAGGTAGTTGGCACCTTCCAGTTCCGTTCCATCTGCTCTCGCAGATTCCCAACACTTCTATTCTGTACCTTCTCATTTCAGCGGCTATCTGGGCAGCCTTTCCAGTTTCGTACATTGTGCGAACATTCCAGGTACCCATCCTTACTTTTGCTTTCATCGAAAGAAGGCACATCGGCTGACTGGCTTCCCGAAGGCTTTCACGAGCCTGGGTCATTTCACTTCCCCGATTCCAGCGAAAAGTGAGGCTATTGCTTATGTTTTTAGAATTTTTAATATATTTATTCGTTGAAGTTTCTGTAGCGATTTGGTTGTTTTACAGGGGTGGTGTTGCTAGCACCACGCCAATTATTGTATCGTGGAATTATTTTTATACTTAGGCGTTCTCACACAGAGTTCTTCGAAACGATTTCTTGTTTTGACATGGGGAGACAAAAGGCGAAAGGTGCTATGGTCGCTCTTTTTGTTTTGTATCTCATTTCACTGTCTCTATTTCTCGTTTGTTTTTACTTTCTTCTCTTGCTTTGTGTACTGCATAGAGTGTGGCAACTTGAACTGCCGCTGTACATCGGTAGAAAGTTCTATGTTGAATCCAGTCAGTCAGTCAGTCACAGTCAGTCAGTCAGTCAGTCAGTCAGTCAGTCAGTCAGTCAGTCAGTCAATTGGTGGATGGTAGGGCCGACACGTCAGCCTGAGACTGAGCACTTCGGTTCAATCAGAACCGACGGGAAAATCTAAATTGAATTAAATAATTATTAATAAGACCCGTTACACAAGAGGTGTCTGTCGTGGCCCAGGTGGTTTGGTGAATAATGCTTTGACTGGTATTTGAAACTATGGATACTGGGTTCGAACCTGCGTGGTGGGAACATCGTCACTCACTCACTCACTCACTCACTTACTCACAGTGGGGAACGCAGGTACATCCAGCTAAATAACAAGCCGCGAATAGGAAGAAATGCGCGTTATCCTGGATTCCACTGCTAGTCAACATCCATAAATTAACTTCAAGTTACATGACCAGACATCATCGAAGCATCTGCACAGGGAGCTGACATGTCAACCTGAGACCTGAAGGTTTTTTTCCTTTCTGGACAGCATATCTGTAGCACACCACACCTTTTCCAAAATTGCCTTCAAAATATCATTATGCATGTTTTATGTATATACCTAATGAAGCTTTCTTTTCTACTTTTTTTAACCAGGAAGTGAATAATTTTCGTCAAGGTCTACTGGATATGTTTATGATGGACTTTGTTTGTATTCCGTTAGTGTATACACAGGTGAGTCTCTCTCATTCTTGACCTTTTTTTCTTTTTACACCTACCTACCCTTTGACTTTATCACGTAGTTTATTTTTTCGTGGGCTCTACTCAAAGTCATGCAGTCAGTCAGCTAGCCAGGTGAGAGCCTACAGAGAGTTGTTATCTGAGATAATTGTGGTGACAACCAGTGTTGGTGTCCATCAGGGATATCCAGTGTCCCTACTTTTCATAGGTGTACTTATATACTTAAGCCTACCTAACTTCATTGATTTAGGGATTTCGGAGGAAACAATCTGGTTTACTTGGAGTATGCTGATGATTATGATAAAGTCCTCCTTCGTAGGTGAAGACTAGGACTTCATAGGTGCAAACAGCGGTCTTGTGAACACCTTGAGCTGAAGAGCAGCAATCTTCGAAAGTTTGGCGTACGAATTCGCTCCTGCTGTCAAATGTGAGATGATGGATGTTACAGGACTGGACTGGACTGAACTATATCGATTAATCCTAGCTTAAAGATAAGCAGGCAGGAAGGAGTGAAGTGGTGTCTGACTGGCTGGTGGAGCGTGTTAAGCTGTCTAGTTGTTCGGCCTATATAGCTTTCTCCACAGGAGCAACTAAATTTATAGATACACATGGAAGTGGCACAACTAGGTAACTTATCTTTCACTTGAGCAATCAAAATTGGCCGGCTGGAAAATGACAAACAGAGGGTGGCGGCAGTATAAGTCCGTTTTATCGCTCTCGATAATCTCTGATGTAAGACTTCACTAGCCACGTCCCCATTAAATTGCAGTTTCACGAACAGTTGTTTCTTTTTAACTGTTGTCGGTTTCTCTTTATTGTACTTAGCATTCATGTGTCTCCTGACAAATCTACTAGGATAACCCATTTGGACTAACGTATTTTGGATGTATCCTAGCTCATTCTCTAGAGAGTCATCTGTACAGATGCGTCTTGCTCTATTCGTCAGGCATCTGACCAAATTGATTTTGTAACGGATTGGTACATAACTGAGGAAATGTGTATATTGTCCTACAGATGTAGGTTTTCTATAGACATCTCTCTTTAGTGAACCATCCTCTCTTCTGCTCAATTGGACGTCAAGAAAATGTAGTCCACCATCATATTCTTCTTCACAAGTGAAGATAAGCGATGGATGTGCATTGTTAAACTTTTTTAGCATTTCATTCTTGTCAGCTTTCACATCAAGAATAATAAAGGTATCATCAACATAACGAAAATAAGAATCAGCTTTTTCTATTACTTTTTTCAATGGACCATTTTCAATCTTGGTAAGAAAGAAATCTGCTAAAATTGGCCCCAACGGAGAACCCATGGCAATACCGTCGATTTGCCTGTAGTAAAGGTTGTTAAATATGAAATGTACATTCATAGTACATCTTAAAAGCAACTCTTTCAGACTACTAACCGGTATTCCGATGTCGATCTGTTTTTCTAGTATCTGTTGGCATATGAATTCCAGTCCCCATAAGTGGTACATTAGTAAACAGTGATGCTACATCGAGGGGAAGCATTTGCTTTCCATTTACATTAATATCATCCACGTTAGCAATAAATTCAAAAACATCTTTAACACTATGACTTACTACCATCTTGTGTAATGGTTGGAGGAGTTCACCTAGCTACTTTGCCACTCCATGGTAGGTAGAGTTTGATATATCCAGGACTGGACGAAGAGGAAGTCCTGGTTTATGTATTTTGGGCAGACCGTACAGACGTCAAGTATTACTTCCAGTAGGTTTAAGACGGTTATATGCTGCCTCTGAGATTATTCCGCTTTTTCTCAGTTATTATTCTTATCACCTATATAAGCCTTATTAACAATATTTTGTTATTATTATAATCATCGCTATTAACTTCGTTCAAAACATTTACCACATTATTACTATTATTATTATTATTATTATTATTATGATTACTATTATTATTTGATCCACTAAATCACCGTCATTGGTTAAAATTTTATATATATAAGTCTATGTAAATTAGAGTAAAGCCTGAAGAAGATCTAATTGAAAACAATATTGTTCGCTTATATGTCTTGTTCTAATACTATATGAGTGTGTTTGATTATGAGTGCCTGCGTTCTATCTCCGATGTCAGGTAGCTGGTAGGTGTAATTAGCTGATCAATATTGAGATGAGGCATTGGTCGAGTGAATAAGGGAGAACAATCTGTTGACGAGGTTGTGAAGCAGTTATATGGATTGAGAGAGATGGTTAGGCCATGTGTTACGCATGCATGACTAGCCGTCGCCCTTCTCAACCAACGGGCGGGCCGACATTGGCCACTGACATAGGATGGATCAGTTCAGAAAAGAGTGAGCTAGTGGTGGTGGTCAAACGAAAAACTGACTTCATCATCAGTGAATGAAATCCACAAGACTTAATTTAGGCATGCCACCCAGTCACGTGGGCGAAGGAGTAGACTGTCTTGTTAGGGTCCTTGTGATAGTAAAAAGCAATTGGTGATATTGCTGGCTGAAAATCGTTGTCAGTCGTTGCCATATTACTATTCTTTTTCCTCACCTCTGACCTTTAAATTCTGTGTGCATATATCAGTGTTAGCCTGTTACTGTAGAGTTAGCTGCATTGATCATTCGACGTGTATCCTTTCTGAAAGGACTGAAGAACACTATCCCTCATGGCTGCAGAAAGAGGTCCTAGTAGCCCTGTAAGGAGTGCAATAATCGAACACCCTGTCAACAACACCGATCATTCCATGTCTACAAATGCCTCCTACATAAAAAGTAATCTATAAAGTGAGGAATAAAGGAAAGAATTACCTACCAAAGGCAATGCGCTTTCATCTCTTTAGCATTTCTGAAGCTCTAACCATTCAGATAAAGCAGTTACAGCTATGCCTACAAATAAAGAAGAGAATTACTCAACCACTTCTACTTCTACTATCATGGTAACAACCCGATTGTTGATTTCTACTGACTTGATGTTTGTGTGCCTGTTTTTTTATTCTAACTTCTTATAACTATTGTATTTCTCCTTTTCAGAACTCTTACGTAATATTCCGTATTTTCCTTCGCTCCTATTTATTTGCATTCTGATTACAACTCATTCACTGGTTAAATTGTTCATCTTATTACGTCACTCTAGTACACTGATTCAACTCGTCTTATAGATTGACTAATATTAACTAACAACTATGGTTATTGACGAGTTTGACCACAAATTTATATGAGTTAGAGAACTATTTGAAAACCAGAGAATACTGGACATCTGTTTCGCCACTTACGGGGTTCGAACCCAGGACCTTTCGGTTAGAAGGCAAACTAACTCGTATACCATTCAGCCACTCACTGGGACCCATCCCATTCAATGGTCGGCCAGCCAGTGCATGAATTCTCACTTCTACCAATTCTTGATTTAGTGCGACCACCAACCAGTTTCATAGGTGGGAAATCCATCCTCACACTTGATGACTACTGGATGGACCTCACTCTGATCATGACTTTTCACTAGAACTACAACAAACTCTGTCCTGTATCAATGAATGGTATACAAGCCTCTTTCATGAAAAGTTGCCTATAAGTGAGATTGTACTGTCTGTCTGTCTGTTTTCGACATAAAACTTTGCACAAATGTGCGGCAGTTCAATTCGCCACACTCCCTGTAGCACACGAAGCAACAGAAGAAAGTACAAGAAAAGCATAATGGGGAGAGTAAACATAGGTGTGAGACAAAGGAGTAATAACGAAGAACAAAACAGTTTCATTGGAGATCATAAGTCACAAGGAGTGGATGCATCTGCGCCACTGAGAACGATTTTGAGCCATGTCACCAATTGTTTCCAACCATAGATTTTTACCGTCCCGAGGACCCCAGCCTGGAAGTCTACACCTTCCTACGTGGCTTAGACCAACTGTTGTGGATTTCATTGACTGATGCCAAGTTTTTGTTTGACCGCCGCTAGCTTTTTTCCAGCCTGACCCTATATCCGCTAACATTGCTCGTCGAGGGAGGCGATGACTTGGCATACGTAACACATGTCCTAACCATCTCAGTCTTTGTAGCTTCACGACTTCGTCGATTGATTTCCCCTGTTTACCTAGAACTCTACGCCTAACCTCAATGTTGCTCACCTTATTATGCCACTTTACACGGGAAATAGAACGCAGGCACCTATGATCAAAGACAGCTAGTCTTTTCATGTCTTCCACTCTCAGTGGCCAGGTCTCACAACCATAAAGGAGGACGGAGCGGACTGATGAGCAGTACACCCGCCCTTTGGTCGATAGTCGAACATCTCGCAAATACGAAACGAGCCCCTTGTATTCGTGCTGAGATTTCGTCAGAGATCAGCCCGTTGGGGCTGATGGTACTTCCCAAATAAGTGAAGCGGTCAACGTGCTCTACCACTTCACTTCCTATTTTTAAACTAGGCGTCGATGTAGTCCAGTCCTGTAACATCATCTTGCATTTGGCGGGAGCGAATCGCATGCCAAACATTCGTAGATTGCGGCTCAAGGTGTTTAGAAGACTCTGCATTTCGTCAGCGTCTTCGCCTAGAAGGACTATATCGTCTGCATATTCCAAGTCAACGAGATTATTCCCTGGTAGCAAGTCAATCCCTGAGTCGCTGAAGTCACCTAGGGTTAAGTCCATTAACACATCTATGATGAAGTTGAATAGAAAAGGAGATAATGGGCATCCTTGACGGACACCACTGGTCGTCATCAGTTCAGATGACAGCTCGCCGTAAGCCCTCACCTGGCTGTATGAGTACGAGTAGAGTGCCTTAATCAGTGCAATATATTTTCTCGGAATTCCCTTTACAGCCAAGCATCTCCAGAGAACTTCCCGATCGACAGAGTCGAATGCTGCCTTTAGGTCAAGAAATATAATGACTGTTGGACGCCGGTAGGAATGCCTATGTTCTAGAATCTGTCGGAGGGTGAAGATATGATCAATACACCCTCTTCCTGGTCTAAAGCCTGCCTGGCTCTCTCGTGTTTGTGCTTCCCGAGCACCACTCAGTCTACG